ATTACTTCAGTTCATATTCAATCTACGTTCACTATTCAATCTACGGTCAAATAACTAAAAATAATAAATCTTTGAATTTTTTTAACTTCCCGTAGGGGAAGTTATAGTAATCCGAAAAAATCGAAAATGAACATTTGTATATATCTTTACGTTTTAGAGGTTTCTGAACATTTTGGCATACCTTAAAAAATGGATGTACATGTGTGTTTGTCGACGATTTCGGGAACACGGTTCCACCGATTTCAATTATTCAAAAAACATTCGATTCCTATTAATAAGGACACGTGCTGATTAGTTTTTGGCATGGGCAGATCTAGCCGTTTCAAAGATACGGGGCAAAAAGTGCCAAAAACGGTAACTCAGTTTTTAAGAGAACGAATTTTAATAATTCAAAAAACATTTTACTTGCAGAACTGGTTAAATTTTTGGAAAGGCAGGCCTAGTGGTTTCGGAGATCTAGTAAAAAAAGTATAAAAAATGCCATTTTGAGGTCAAAAATCATCATTAGAAATATGCACATCAAATTATCAGATATTTTATGGAGATTTTAATAATGTGTATCAATTTTGTTTACATATCTATGAGTTTCGTAGCATTGTTTGTCCGTTAGACGACGACGCGGCGCTTACGCGCTTCGAAATTCCGTCTCTATGCAGCTGAAGCGATTGCTTTGAAAAAGGTTCAAAATTTCAAAAATATTTCAAACTAAAGATTTGAAATTTCTCAAAGATCTAAGTTTAAAACATATTTAATCTTTTTTTTTAAATTTAATTTTTGGTACGGGAAGTACCAGCAATTTGCCTTAAGGCACGATGCCATACACCACTAGTTTTACATATATTTTAAATTATATATATATATATATATATATATATATATAATAAAGTAGAACACTATACTCTTACTCAACTTTATTTGCTCATTTTATTTACGTTACGCTCAACTTCAAACACAAATTCTTAATGTCGCTACTGAAATTTGCTATGTGATTAATACAATGTTTATATTATACTATGTTATTTTCTTATATATACAGCCCAGATTTTCAAAATTTCTTAATTTTTTTTAATCTTATATTAATTTTTGATCTTATTATATGTAATCATATGTAAACTCCGCTATTTTTTGACATACTATAATGTTGTTATTACGTTTATGAACTTGAATAAAATATCCATCATTAGTCGCACGGGTTTTAATATTAATTTAAATGTTGTTTTTTATATTCGCATGAACACCTTACATTTAACCTGAACTTCTAAGAACGAACGCTGGATTTGTGTTGGATGTACTTTTTGTTCTTACAATTAGTATATGTAAACATATGTAAAATCCGATACTTTTTAACTTAATACAATGTTATTATTGCATGTATGAACTTGAATAAAATATCCATTATCTGTCTCACGGGTTTTAATAATAATTTAAATAATGTTTTTTATTTTCGTATGAACACACTATATTTAACCTGAACTTATAAAAACGTCATTATTGATCATAAATTTAATTCGTTATACTTACATATATAAATACTCGTATACATATATACATATGAGCATGGCAGTTCTATTTGCATATGCATATATTCTTCTTTTGGTATCGACACTTTGCGATCTATCTTATAATAATCTTACGCAAATCGAACATCAATGCATTTCAATGAATAAGGACTTCGTTCCATCCGCAATGTGAAAAAACAGCCATGTTTTCATTCTTAGTGTTAATTACCCGTCTCAACCTTGGTAACGATAGACCAGTATAAGGCAACGTCACTTTCAGAACTAACAATCAGAGAACTTTGTCTTACGAGTTGAAGCACAATCAGAAAAGTTACTCAGATTAGACCATCAAGGAAATTGACTCTTTTTTGGTCACTTTTTAGCCAGTTAATTGTTGAGAATTGCCAGAATCTGGTCACATTTTAACTAGTTAACGGTGGAGAAGTGGCAGAATTTTGTGTGTTGAGGAGTATATAGATCAGTAACCATTGGTCATTTAAATTGTAATTTTAAGAAAAACTAAACATATATTCTCAAATTTCAAGATGGAATATTTTGAGGCAATGCTGGAATAAAATACGTAGTTGTAAGTGGCATTTAACTTCAAATGTGTAAATGATTGATGTAATCAATATAAATTCAAATTCATCTAATTAAATTTTTACCAAATTTAATTTACCAAAAGCTAATCAATGCGATTTTCAATTGATATTTTTTTATATTAGGACAGTACACTAGAAAATCAAACTAATTATTTTACAATAAATAACCATATCAAACAAACAACTATCTGACTATGTTCAGTAAACCCCAGATTCTTGTAGAAATGTTTTTTTTGCTATTAGTTAGTATAGGCGGGGGACGGCCAGTGGCAAACAGGTCCAATGTCTTATTTTTTACTTGAAGGAATTTTACGAAATAATAGCTACATTGTTCAACCATGCATTTCATGGCTACATTTTTACAGAGATAACACTGAATATAACCTTGAGCTGGTATTTTGTCTGCAATCTTTATTAGGCAGAGTAGGAATAACAATAAATTTATCTCTTAAGAAATTTAGTTTTTTATTTACTAATTTTTATTGTTTTGTCGGAGTGAAAGTTCAGTTGATCCTTTTTACCCCACCCACGTGTAAGCTTTTATATAGGATAAAAAGACTGTTGAATCTAACTTAAATTTAACAACATATCTTATAAAATAATAGATATCGTATATTTAAAAATTATATTGAGGTCTCGAAATGTAAACAACAGTGCTCACAACCAAAAAAAAATAACAACGGAAGAAAATACTTTTGTTATGGATTTTCAAACATTGCTCTTTCTTTCTTGATAGTGACATCGTAAGAATCAAGGTGGTGGCTGGTTATACATCTTTTTCTCTCTACTTTCTAATATTGTTAAAAAATCTTAACTTTACTTATTTTTGAGATATCGGTGGACCTTTCTACCCGCGGACTTTTAAACCCAGCTCTTCCCTAAAAATGTATTTTTAATTTAATATAATTTATTTACCACATTTCCTACTTATTCATGTTCCAAAAATGTATTTTATTCTAGAGTGCACATCAACGGTGATCAGTAGATACACACCACATAGCGGAATATATCTATACGGTGCATGTACTAAGAGCGCGGCTTATTATTACAAAGTGTAATGAATTTTTATAAATAAATGACTGTTTTCTAGGCCTATAATATTTTAGGATTTTCGAATCACTTCACAATAAGAACTTGAATTCTTACTTTTGTATGTCTATTTTTTTTCTTCACAATATATTTACAACTATTCTACATAGACATTAAGTAAATCTTTTGGCAATTATATATAAAAAATGACATCGATATATAAATATGTCTAATATTTTATTGAATTTATTTAGTTTTTAGTTTAATGCGTATGTATTAGGTATATTATGTTACCCAAAGAAGTAAAACTTTATCTTTTTCAATCGATATCTGTAAAATGCGCACTGTAAAATGAGTTCGATACAGTTAACTGTTTAAAATGGAAATTGATATTTTTAATAGCTTTATTTAGCAATCAAAGAATTACAAGGTTTTATAAGCTAAACTGATCATCATAAATATGTTAAACTAAGATAAGATTCATGCATTTATCTTACTAATTGTTACTTAATTAACATTTTTAACGATGTTAATCACGTGTTATCTGGAGGCCATATTCTTGTTAATTGGGGTCACAGGACTTGTTTTAAAATTTTGTTTGGATATATTTCTGATTTGCTTCAATAATTTAATGACTGAACCTTATAAGTTTTTTTTAATTTTTTTATCATATTATCAAAATTGTTATAGACTGTTTTGTAACATACCACGGTGAATCAAGTATTGTTTATAAAATTCTAATAACTTAGGTGACTTAAATTGATATTGGCAAATATATCTAGCTAAAATATCGATAGTGAAAGTACTCACTATCGACATAAAAGTATCGATATTTACTCATTGCTCGATATTTAGTTCTAACACTACTTAGGTCTAGTAGTAGTTAACTGAAACTATAATAAATTATTTCTAAAATATTTTTCAAAATTTATTCATTCTTGAGTATTTTGTGTTCTGAGTACTGAAAATAATATATTTTAGCATATGTCGTTTTGCAGTTGACGGTTTCGTGACATATGCTATATCCGTTATTTTAATTGGAATTTTATTAGAAAATTATTATAATAATTGAAACTAATAATATGTTTTAGTGTATGGTATTGTCATAAGACAAATTGTCGGAACTTCCCATTTTAAAAACAATTAGTAGATAGAATCTTCTTAATAATAGTGAAACGGAGCAAACGTAATAGACTTTGTAATTTTTCAGGCTACGAAATGAAATCTTGTTGTTTTCTAATATAATTTTGTATGATTTATTATTTTTATAATTGGATTATTTTCATATTTTAATATTTAATATTAGCACAAAAAGATTGAATTTGTAATCTATTCCTATCTATTTTCTCTATTGTCTTGCTCAATTTTTTTTATTTAAAGTAGAAGTAACACTGGTAACTTATAATTAGGGGGCGTCCATTAATCATATGATCGATTTTTTAAGGATTTTTGGACCCCCTCTCCCCTTTGGTGATACGTGGTGATATTCAAAATTACTCACGCCCCCCGGCACCAAACATCACGTGTATTTTTAGTTACAAGTAAAATTTGTAAAATTTTTGATTTTTCTTGAAAATATTTAAATTTACAAAAAAATCTGGTAAATAATAAACACACATGATATTTTACTATACACCTCCTTCTTTCACGTGATATTTTGTAATTTTTTGTCAAACCTTCCCTCCTTCTAAAAATCTCACGTAATCAATGGACGCCCCCATATTGTTATATCTAATTGATTTATGCCATTTATTTATTATATTTCTTTTACCTTTTCTGAATGTCCCCCAGGGATCGTTGCAAATTATATGGTGAAATAAAAATCCTGTAGATTTATTATTAATTTCTATTTCATATTGATAGGATCATGATGGAAGCCGAATCGGAACCTCTGCCTCCTTTGCCCCAAGTAAAAGACAGCGACCTTGCCTTAAGACGAAGGCAACTAAAATCGCAACAAAGTACAGTTGCCAGTAGAAAACAACATGCAGTATGCGTGCGAGGAGCTCACAAACAATATGGATCAAGTAAAAATCCTAATATTATTTTGGATGGACTTAACATGACAGTGCCGAAAGGATCCATGTGAGTAACTTTTGAAATCTGATGGCAAATTTTTTGTATTTAATATGAATGAAATATACCAAAATTTTATTTGGTTTGTCAGATTTTTTGTATTAATGTTATGTAGGGTATAAAGTGAATTTTCTGCCTTTATTAGTCGTGCCTATAATATAGTATTTCAAAACGCATGATAATTTATATAATTTATACAATGAAGAAGAAAATTAATGTATGTAATTAATAAAGAACTCTCACGCTCTGCACGTCACTAAGCTAATATATATATATATATATATATATATATATATATTTATATATATATATATATATATATATTTATATATATATACTAGACGACCCGACAGACGTTGTCCTGTACCCACGTCTTCAATTCAAAAGTTCAAATTTTCTTTAATATCCTATCATATACTTTTTAATATTCTATTTGATGTCCTGTCTTTGTGATTCATTTATGGTCTTAGCATAAGCAGTATAAAAAATTCAGAAAAAAATAATATAGTATCTGCGGTAAAAGAACAATATCACACTTGATTTTACCACACAATATAATTGCTTCAATAATTTAGTCTATAATTTTCATAATCTCGTACGATATATTAGTTGCTTTTTGGCAATTATAATTTCTAAAGTACACTTTTGTTACTAATAATTTAATAAACATTATTGTTTTTGTTCAAATCCTAGTAGAATTAATTTGTAAAATCTAGTTCATATGAGCACTCTTCAATCTAAGATCAACTTGCTAAATATTCTATATCCAATGCCAACCAAATCAATTTTTGACACATGAATCTAAATTATTGTTAAATAATTTAGTAAAGTAAACCAAAATGCCACATGCATCTGTTTAAAAAAATAATATATATGTAATTTTGGACTTATTGCGTTATTTATTAAACTGAATTATATAATTTCATCTGCCAAACACATACTGTTGAAATATTATTCTAATTTCTGGCATATATTAGCTGCTTTTCGGCAATAATAATGTAGACATTACATTATTTAGGCTCGTAATTTCAACTAAATTCAAATTTGAAGTGAATTGACATTTCTAGCAGATGCCAGTTCAAATGTTTTCAATGTCAAACAATGATAAGTGTTTTTTTGTAATTTTTGCCATTTATTTCTACAATATTACTATAGTTTCATCGTTCATTAAAGCTTAAAAATTTCCTTTGACAAACTCTAAAAAGAATTATCAAAATCCGAATAACCGTTTAGTAGGAGAAGTATCAAATCATACACCCGTACAGAAGAAATTTATATATAAGATATATATATATATATATATATATATATATATATATATATATATATGACCATGGTTGCGTTAACAACTGTTCTATGACCTCACTCATTAGCTTTTTTACATCCAAATGATGTGTTTGCCTTCAATGGATTTTCTCTAGTTGCGGGGTCTTAAAATTTCTTGTAATGCACAGGAAGTCCAACAATGACGATTGCAAAATTTATTGGCTTTCAAATATTTGTACACAATAACATCAAATGATCTAATGGCTATGTGTACATTACAAAATAACTAATAAATTATTATTTACCAATTTTAGGAGTATTATTTATACATTGTCTCAAGGACACAATTAACTTGTGCACCGCTATTCCCAATTAATAGTATATGTTTTATTCAATGTACTTAATTTTGTACTATTCATAAGAGATGATTTGTCTTGCTTTATTTTCTATAAACATAACTAAAAGGTTTACTACTGGGTATCCTTTTAAGCATCCATTTTTACTACCAACAATCTAATTACTGAATGTTTTTTGGAGACAGCAATAATAATATTACCTAGATTTATCATTTCGTGATAAATTAGTTCATGAGTTTATTTTTAATATCAGTCATCAGCTTTTACTCATAAATATTATAAACCATATTACACTACATTTGAGCTTGTGTTATTAAAAGTTCGTACTGAAAGTGCAAGTGCATTACTTGCACTTTGAATACAATTTATTTTTTGTTGATGAACACGAATTACCTTCCATTACGATAATAAAATACAATAATACGAACAGCAAAAATAGTTCAAAATAATCTTAATTATGCACTACACGCATAAATTTAGAAAGGTCAAGGTGTTAAAATTAGTTACTAAACTTGACGACTCAGGTCAAAGGTCAAACTTTTTTGTTAAGATTGGCGTTTTCTTGCACGGTCATCACATTTTTGTTTGTCATGTCATGTCATGTCATAAAATAAATTATGTAACTTGTAATAAATAAAAATATCGAGCCTAGAACCTTGGATGTAAGACCAAAACTTCTACCGCAGAGCCTCGGGAAAGCCCCAATAAAATATTTGAATTTTCGTTTTGGTTATGAATATGTTTATTATAGAATGATATTATTGACCCTTGTTAAAATATGATTCATTTTTATAATTGATATTTGTCTGCTTGTGAAGCTTCTAATAGTTCTTTTTTGCTTATTGGATTCCGGTTTTAAAAGATCTACGCGCGGAACACTTCTTGTTTGATTTTTAGTTTAAATCCACAACAAAAATGGCAGGTAATAATTTGTTACTTAGAAACAGCATTTCTGTATTTGTAAAAGTTAATACTTATTTTTATAAATTAATAACTTTTATGATATCATTATTTGATGAATATTCAATATAACATTGTATATTTATACGTTACGTATATTAACGGAAGTAGAATTGCAATAATAATTTGCTAATTTTATTCAATTCATAAACGTTATTATCAATTTTCTTAGAACAATTTACTGAGAATTATAATTTCTTAGAACATTGTTCATACTTAGTTTCAGGCTAAATATATTTTAAAAACAATCAATTATTTATGAATCTATATTATATAGATAATCATTCAAGCTTTTTCGTGGCTTATTTATTGCAGTTATCGTTTTTGTAATATAGGTTTCAGGTTCATTACATTCTCGGACAGCCTGATGTCAAGCAGCAGTCACATCGTATTTTCACTTGGAAATATAGATAGCAATATGTTTCCAAGTGAAAATAGCCCTTTGTGTTATTGCTGCATCAATAAAAAAATATCAGTATTGTAGAAATTGTAATAATAAATTCATCACATAGAGATAGGCAACCGTTTGGGCCGGAGCGGCGGCATTCGAGTGGAAAGGGTTAAAAAGTCAGCACAGCAACTCATATGACTCGTTAAGAGTTGGTTTCTGTAAAACATATATATATATATATATTTATTATATATATATATATATATATATATATATAATATATATATATATATATTATATATTATATATATATATATATATATATATATATATATATTAGGGTGGTACTTAATATGGACATTTTCGTATCTTCTTGCTCCCAAGGGCTCAAATGGTTCCAAATTGATAACAAACAAACAACAACTCTGAAAGTTTTAGTTCTTAGTATTATCTTTTAGGTAGAGCGCAATTCTATCAATTTTGTATGGAGATAGCATGAAAAAATATTCAAAAATTTTGCAGAGCGTCGAATTTTCAATAAAAAATGACACGAATTTTCACTTTTAATTTATTTTTTTTTATTTTTAATTTTCAAAATTTTTTCCATGCTTTTTCCTTACGAAGTTTGATTGAATTGCGCACTATCTAAAAGTTAATATTAAGAGCTAAAACTTTCAGAGTATAGATTTTTATCAATTTTTAACCATTTGAGCCCTTGGAAGCAAGGAAATTTGAAAATTTTCATATTAAGGACCACCCTAATATATAAAAATATGATAATGCTTGAAGATTTCTCTAGTTTCTGTATTTTTGATCGCCTTCGACTAAGATAGCGTAACCAAACATTTATACCCTTGATGTGGACCGAATAGTTGCTAAATTTAATTTTAATTGTTTAATTTAATATTTTGTTTTATGAAATTATTTCTATTCAATTATTATGATTCCAAGAAATATTTTTATAAAAATAAATTCTAGAGATTTTGATCCGCATCTACTTTGTCCTTCCGAAGGCGGTGAGGCCGCAGTACGGAAAGTTTTATCCGTCGGGGACGACCGGTTTTTTGTTGATCACTGATTATTCGTTCGTAGTTAACTTCTTCTTTGCTGAACTAAATGAATTCGTGGATTTGACAATGAACTGGCGGTTGATAATGATAGCTATCGATATTGAGGTGCATTGTTAAATGATACAAAGGTGAATGATTTCAGCGTTTCTGAATATTGAGAAGATAAAAAAAATTAGCAGCGAATAGGACTACGAAACCCAATGGTTAACCACTCTTCTATTTCATGTTTGGACTAATATGTTAGATATATGATAGCGAATAAGTGGTGCACCAATGGCCACGAAAGGCTATTTTTGCTTGAAATTATGTTTGAGATCTATAACCTTAAGTGGAAATTTGATATCTTTTTGATATATTTTCAGTTTCTCATAAATTTAATTTTTTACGGTTTTAAAATAGTATAACTTTCAACCTGGTGCAAGAATTTTGGGCTTGACTAGTGGTTTAATAGACTTTAAAATGATGAACTTGATGATGAATATTTTAGAAGCGAAAATCGGGCAGCTACTATGAATATTATAAAATTACTTTCCTTTAAGTTTTAATTATGAATAAGCTTGACAATAACCTAAAATAATATTTATTATTATTGATTACGGCTTGCTTATGAATAAATAAATAAAGAAATATCATACTGATTGATATCGAACTGGCCGAGTTTGGGATCGAACCTGGGACTAGTTAGTGCTACCCCATGTCATCAACGAGAAGATAAACATATTAATTATTATATGATGTGCGCACTAAATATACATTACCGTTCAGGTGTAATGATAATGGAAGTTTACTTTTATTATGTTCTATAAATTTAAAAAAGCTGTTTATGAAATTAACCGTCTATAATAGAATTGGCTCTTGAGAGTTGCAAAAATATACTATTTTTTAACTTTCCGTAGGGTAGTTATAGTAATGGGCCGAAAATCGAAAATGAAAATTTTTTGCATATCTTTTCTGAACATTTTGGCA